ATCTATCTATCTATCTACCTATCTGCATGTGTATATATACATATGTGTGTGTATATGCATAGGCGTATATATATATATATATACACGTACTGCGTTTCGTTTCGTTATACCAGAGGGCATTACTCTACATTATTTTGTAACATGTTATATTCCGTCAAGTCATATTACATCATATCCTGTTATATCACATCCTATCATATTATATCACATTGTGGTATGTTATATTATATTCAGTTACATTCTCGATTTATCTACATTGCGCTACATGTTTGCTATATGTAAATAATAAATAAATAAATAAATATATATATATATAATTCCCTTCAATTGCAGTGTATTGAATTACATTATTGTATGTCAGAGCATAGTACTCTAGCATAGTATATTATACAGTATGCTTTACCTACGGACTTATCTAGGGACCACAAGGGTGCATTCCACTTTTGATTATTCTGACCTCGAGAGTTTGGTCAGGATCGAAATGGAAACTTTCCGATTCAGTGGTGGTCTCAAGCTGCAGGTTCAGATTGCGCACTAGAAATGCTGAGGGTCTTGGGTTTCGGGTTCGAGTCTGGTGTTCAGAGCTTCGCGAGGGAGGTTCGGCTTGGACCCTTCCTAGCCTCCTTTTTCCGCATGCAGTCTCCGACCTACACCCTGGACCCATCATGCCCTGAATACCCTCATGTCTTACACTTTTCCCTAAACGCCCATTCTACCCCAAGGTTCACAGATTTGCACCTGCGACCTGCATGCAAGGAGTGAGCCAGGGGAGGAGAGGGGTGCCAGGGAGTGGATTGAGTTTAAGTTAGGACTCCGAGTTTAGCTTTCAGAGCTGAGAGTTTAAAAGCATGTAAGTTTGTATGTAGGTATGTATGCTTGCATCGATATAGACATATATCTCCTTATATACCTGCATGTACCTACATTTACTTGTGTATGTGTGTATACATATTTATACATATATGTATATAGTCCGCGAGAGAGAGATGTATACATACACATGCATACATACATCTATGTATGCATCTGCATGTGTAAGATGCCCGCCGAAACGTCGAGGTATGCCATAAAGAACTGAAGCCGGTCGACTGAATGGATAAAGCGTCCTTGACAACAGCATCATCAACATCATCATCATAAGTTTGAGTAAAGAGCTCCGGGTACGGAATTCTGATGCAGTGGTTTGGTCCTGTTCGCTTCAGAGTTCAGGGTAGCAAGAGTTCTCGTGCTGCTTAGTGTGCCTGCATAAGCCCTGAACCCTGACCCTGTTTTCACGAGAAAAGAGCCCTGAAGTTGATCTCCAACTTAAACCAAGAGGCACCAACCTCATTCCTGAGCTGTTAAGCTTAAGTTCTGAAGCCAGCGGTGTCCCGCAGAGTTGTATCAAACCGCTGGTCCTTTCGGAAGTGAGGCTCAATAGGGTTTTAGGGTTGAGCTTTTCGTGGCTGAGTAGGTAACCTTGAACCTTTTGGGGTCTATATAATCCGACCATGATTGAAAAGGTCAACCTTGTTGGGGCTAGGGTACTCAGTAGCCTAAACCCTAAACCGAAACCCTACATCCCAACAACCCTAACATGAACCCTAAAACCCTAAACCCTATGCCGAAACCCTACATCCCAAAAACCCTAAGACCCTAAACCCTAAACCCTAAACCCTAACCCTAAGTGAGGGATGCTCAAAGGAGGCCGTACGGGGGCCTTCGGAGTGAGAGCCTCCCTGGTCTGTCGTCCGAGAAGGACTTTGAGTTTAGGAAATTTAGGGTTTCTGGTTGGGTTTAGGGCTTTGGGTTTGGGAAGGTTCGGGTTTCTGGTAGGGTTTAGGGCTTTGGACCGTTTAGGAAGTTTAGGGTTTCTGGTAGGATTTAGGGCTTTGGACCGTTTAGGAAGGTTAGGGTTTGGGGCTTTGGGTTTAGGGCTTTGGGACCGTTTAGGAAGGTTAGGGTTTCTGGTTGGGTTTGGGGCTTTGGGTTTAGGAAATTTAGGGTTTCTGGTAGGGTTTAGGGCTTTGGGTTTAGGAAACTCAGGGTTTCTGGTAGGGTTTAGGGCTTTGGGTTTGGGAAGTTTAGGGGTTTAGGGCTTTGAGTTTAGCAAGTTTAGGCTTGGGGTTTACCAGAGTTTAGGAAGCTTAGGGTTTCTTTCTACCTGCACGACCCTCGGCCGAGACAACGGGTTCCTTACACTTTGGGAATCTCGACATGTATTGATCAGATGAAGAGCACTTGTGGTAGCATAAAGTAGAAGCCTGAATAATTTCGAATAATATTCCTTAAGGGCTCCTTATTATAACTGCATGACGGGGCCCACCACCCTCTTCGAATTATTAAGGCCCCTACAGCCAAGGGGAGCGGAAAGCGTGCAGAGTAACGAGTGGCACTGGCGGAAACCTGCAATGAAGCCGGAAAACCTCTCGCTGCACCCCGTGACCGTGACCAAAAACCCCGACATCCTATTGAGGGATTGGGGTTTAGGGTTTAGTGACCGAAAACCCGACATCCTAGAGTCCTAAAGTGGGATTCCAAAGCATGGACTCTTAGGTGGGCCTCTTGGTAACTCCTATGCAGCTACCACAGCTCTTCCAAGCCACCGGCGTGCAGCTGCTTGGATCGATTGGAGTCGCGGTGAGTGATTTCCACAGTTTTGGATCAAACACTGGGAGATGTTTGACATGGGCCGTAGCTAGAACGGGATTGAGGGTCTTACATCATGCAGGGCCGATTTCCCTTATCATACATATAGTCGTATAATATACCCTAAACCCCAAACCCTATTCGAATTATTAAGGCCCCTACGCTAGGCTTACCCCTAAACCCTATAAACCCTAAACCTTAAGCCTTAAACCCTAAACCTTAAACCCTAAACCCTAAACCCTAAACCCTAAACCTTATAAACCCTAAACCTTATAAAGCCTAAACCCTAAACCCTAAAACTATATGTGGCAGAATCGGGGAGCGCTTGTAGAAGCCTCGAAGGCTCGGCAAGATGGTTCGCAATGACAGAGCCATAGTTTCAACATGGACGTGCTACTTCGGGTTTAGGGTGTAGGGCTTAG